AGGGTTGGAGTGTGCACTGGTTGTTCCCTCACAGTCACTGCCACTGGCTCTCTCACAGCAGAGAAATGTCCTCAACCCACGCTTTCCTCCTATTCCACAACAGTCCTTAGATAAGCAAGTTTGTTTGGGGGTTGACAGGAAGCAAAGGACTAGCTTTCGTTTCCATAGCACACTCATTACCATGGGAACCTGTGTGTGGTCAGTACTGTGATCCCTGGTGGCTGTGTCAAGAGTGTGAGCACAAAACACACATCTTTGAGCCCACAGTAGGAAATTGAGCTTTGTAGTGCATGGTGGGTGCAGGTGGGGGCCCCAAACCACCATATCACTCCTGTGTGAAGGTGAAATGTGAAGGAGAGCAGAGGACACAAAAAATGAGCCCACTCAGACCTGAGAACTTTCCTAACTTCCAGAATGATAGAGAATGAACATCACACAGACCTACCCATGTGTCTCAGCATAGCAACTTCCTATCTTGGTCCTGTGTGTGAATCAATACTGTTGTGACCATAGTCAGCCCTACTTAGGACACTCCTAGCCTTTCAGTGCTGTGAGTATAAGAAAAAGTGGCCAAGAATGGTCTGAGAGCATTGGACAGATCCAACTCTACCTAGTTTTCAAATGGGAAAGAGTGCAATCTTTTAAATCCTCCAAACTTGAGTTGAAGTACAGAGCAGAGCTGGCAGTGAGATCAATTTTGAGGGCTCAAGGATGTCCCAAATAAATCAAGGACCATCCTGCTGTTTTTTATATGTTGGAACTGGGCTATCTCCTCTCCAGGTTCTATTCAACAAGACATTGACAGGAATTCCCTGGCACACACTGATGGCCACTGAATTCCATGTTCAAAATAAGAAGACTTGGTCCTGCATGGGACAGACATGGCTCAGCCTCAGCCTGGGAAGGGTTGCTCTCTGCCTTTTGTTTTCAGCCTGGAGATGGAAGGATAGGATCACACAACCCAACTTTTGGAAGGGCAGGAGGCCCTTGTAATAGTCTTGAACCAATGAGTATGATGAGGTGTGGGAGACACAGGGCAGGAGTCAGGGGACAGCTGTACTGATGACACAGACATCCCTTGGAGGAAGTAGGACAGGATCCCTGAAAGCCCCAAAGCTGAAGCAGAATAGAGACAGAGTTGGCAGTGAGACAAGGTTCAATGCCATGAGCATGTCCTAAACATGTGTGGGCCCCAGTGCTGGTATTTGTCAGGACACGGATCTGGGCGAAGGTAAGGTTATACCCTTACCACAATCTCCAATTATTGACATTTGCAGGGACTCCTCACATCCTCAAGGAAGCAGAGTCTGAGCACCAGACTTGGAGTCAGAGCTGCCATGGCGAGGTCAGGAATCCTGCAGGGGACACGGGCACAGCCTGGAGAGAGCTATTTCCCTACTCTGAGCCCAGCCTAGAGATGACAAAGTCACCTACCCCAGCTTCTGGGATGTCAGCAGGTTCTGTTGTCCATTCTATGATTGGTGAGTAGGATAGAATGTCAGGGTAGGGTTTGGGGACATCTTTAAAAATGGTAACACTCCGGAGTGCTCACTCAGGTGGACAACAAACAACTCAGAAGCAAGTGGAGGAGCATTGAACAGCTGTCTGCACCTAAAACTCAGCTCAGAAACCATCTTTGTATCCTCACAACCCAGCCTAGGCTTCTGCACAGACAGGGCTCACTCAACACAGCCTTATGAATTATGTAAGTTGGAGGAAATGTCGCCTTTAATGCCACACTGGTCTATCCGGAAGGAGATCCAGGCCTCTTGGTTTGTGGGCACCATGTCCCTGATGAGTCTCGGTACTCCATGGGACATATGACTTTAGAGGGAAGAACTGTCTCCTTTCTGCCTCCACTGCCATCCTCTCTGCATTTGTCCCCACTCATGGCCGCACCAGTCCACAGAAATGCAAATCTCTCCACAGTGTCCTTACAGGGGTTCATGCTGGTGGGATTTGAGGGAAGTGCAGAGACCCAGGCCCTGCTCTTTGCTGTCTTCCTGGCTCTGTACATGGTATCCATCCTGGGCAACCTCACCATGATCGTGGTCATCACCCTGGATGCCCGCCTGCACTCCCCCATGTACTTCTTCCTCAAGAACCTGTCCTTTGTCGACCTCTGCTACTCCTCTGTCATTGGCCCCAAAGCCATGGCCAACTTCTATTCTTCCAACGTCATAGGTGTTGCTGGATGTGCCACACAATTGTTTTTCTTCTCCTTTCTGGGAACAACTGAGGCTTTACTCTTGGCCGTGATGGCCTACGATCGCTTCGTGGCCATCTGTAGTCCTCTGCACTACCCAGTGACCATGTCCCCCACAGTCTGTGCTTGCCTTGTGCTGGCTGCCTACTGTGGAGGCTGCCTCAACTCCATTGTGGAGACCAGCCTCACTTTCCAACTCCCCTTCTGTCGCTCCAATCGCGTCGACCATTTCTTCTGTGATGTGCCCCCTCTCCTCCAGCTTGCCTGTGCCGACACCTCAGTGAACGAGTTGGTGATGTTTGCTATCTGCGGTTTCATTCTAATGGGGGCAACATCAGTCATCCTGATTTCCTACGGCTACATCACCATGACCATCCTCGGCATGCATTCGGGATCCAGGCACAAGGTCTTCTCCACCTGTGGCTCCCACATGACAGCTGTGTCCTTGTTTTATGGGACTGGCATTGCTATATACGGCCAGCCAGGTGGTGTGGCATCTAGAGAGCAAGGCAAAGTGGTCTCCATCTTTTACACCCTGGTCATCCCCATGCTCAACCCCCTCATCTACAGTCTACGCAACAAAGATGTGAAGGACGCCCTACAGAGACTGGGACAGAGATGTGGAGCTGTGTGAAGGAAGGTGGCCAGTAAGGGACGGTGTCTGGGAATGGAGGGAACAGTTGTGTGGAAGACACATCTCATTACTAGAACAGTTTACGTGTGTTTTGAGTCTTGCTTTCCGTCTTGCTTCTGGGTAGCTTCCTGTATGCTCTCCTCCCTCCCGAACCCTTGTTTGCCTCCTTCCATCACAAACAGCAAAGGCTCACAGGATAGACACTACTATATTAGGACAATTATCCATGAGGAAGAGGCTGCTCCTTGGAGCAGAAATAATCACCCCCTGGGAACCAGCTTTTCCTTCAAACAGCAAGAGGTTTCTTAGGCCACTCTGTAGAATGGAGAACCCCATGGTGAGCATGACCAGCCACACTACACTGCTGTCCTCTGTCTCAATGCCTGTCCCATTCAACTTAAAACTCATGTCGGAACCCCAGAAATAGACTCATGTCACTAGACCTTGCTGTCCACTCTCGGCAGTGTAGTTACAATTGTCAAACTTCCTCTCCTTCACTCTAGCCATCACTGGACTCTGTAAATGGCATATTGGGACAGGTGGCTAAGCCCAGCCCACTGGGACTGCTTGGAGCTTGGGTTTCTTTCTTAAAACACCTGCTACATTATGAGCTAAAGAAAACTTGGGCTAATTTTATGTGAACTCTCATTCTATATGTCAGTTTGAACTAGATCCTTTTGGGGGAAGACCGCTTATGATGTAAACACCAGGTAACACATATCCCCAGACAGCATCTAGGAGCATACCCATTTATGCAACTTCTGCATTAGAACCTTGGTCAGGACACCAACCACAGCAAAGCAGATTTACCAGTCTCTGCAGGAACGTTGAACCTAAGCCTATGGCAGAACCAAATGCACTAGGATCACATGTTACCTGGGTCAGTTCACTCTACAACCTCTGCTATTGCTGTTGTGCAGCCCAAATAAACCTCAACGATGCAGTCCCAAGCCAGACTGACCCTAAGTCCTGCAGTTCTGGACTTTAAATAGGATGGGTTTGAGGTGGCAATGTTGGATAACTAACTCTTTTTATTAGAATACATAAAAGAAAAAAAGAAAGAAAACACCTAGATAATTAGCTTGAGAGGGGAAAAAAATCAAAACTCTGTGTTAGTATCACATGGAAATATACATACAACAAGAACAGCAATTCAGAGACACATGCCAACAGCGAAACCAAATGGCATGTAAGGCTAACTAACATGAGACTCTGCCCAAACTTCCCTTACACACCCTACCCCTGGCATCAACAGGTAAAGCGTCCCCAGGGCCCATCACCAGGCCCAAACTTGCCCAGCCTGCCCAGCCTGCCCAGCCCCTAGTGCTGACAGGAGAAGAGTTCTCAGACCCCACCATTGAGCCCAAACTTCTCTGTCTGCACAGTACCTAGTGCCAATAAGTAAAGCATCCCAGCGGGCTCTCCCCTGACTTGTGCAGTTCCGTCCAACCCCCGTGCTGACAGATAAGCACCCCGAAGGCCCTGAGACCCACAGTTCCACTCACCCAGCCAATTCCAGATGTTCAACTTCCCTTACAAAAACAGAAACAACCCCAAAATGTGAGACAGCACGTCTCTTCCAAAAGGACTAATCCTATAATAATGGCCCCCAGTGAGAATGGCCTCCAAGGTCTCCCTGACGGAGTTCAAAAGAACAATGATAGTTACATCTGAACAACTCAAGGAAGACTCGGACACACTCCCTGGAAAGAATCCCAAAAGGGAGTGAAATAAGGAAGACAGCGCAAGACATGAAAAGCGAGCTCAGGGAAAAGGTAGAATTACTGAAGAAAAGCTAAACTGAGTGATGGTAGAAATGGTTTCCTTTTTCTTTTTCTTTCTTTTTTTTTGCTGTTTTGTTTGGGTTTTTTGTTTTTTCTAAGAGACAGAAACGACATGAGATTGGGTGGGTAGGGAAGGAGGTGAGGATCTAGAAGGGGTTGGGGGAGGGGAAATAATAGGGTCAGAATATACTGTATGAAGTTTTCAAAAAGAAACAAAACATAAAAATATGCTTTTAAAACAACTTAAAAATAAAAATTTAATCAGCTGACTATTTCAAGAGCCAGGGCCACAAGAACTAGTTGGCTGAAATGGGCAACACACAAAGAGAACTCGCCCGTCCTCCCAGGGGCCTTTGGGCACCACCCTGGAGCAAGATATATTGTTTTATCCAAACAGGGAACGTGGTTGGGAGGGCAAGACTGAGGCAAGTGGGGTCTGGCGGGGACACGGCCCAAGCAGGAGTTTCCTTCGTGCTGGGCTCAGACGTTTCCATCGCCATCACAGGAGTCATGGTGGAGCCTGGTTAGCCTAGGGACTGTGGTAAGGCTGGGCTCAAGGACATAGCATTTCATTAGGGAGACAGTTCTCAGAAACATAAAGGCAAACATGTGAGACACAGGAGCATAGATACAACCTCACCAAGAGGCATAAATGCGTTCACTAAACACAAGCTCACCTTGTCCACCAGACGTGTTGTATGGAGATGGTGGAGAACAACTTTTTTTTGAGGGATGGGAGACCCAGGCTTCCACGTGCCATGTAGAGGAGACATACTTCATGTTTCTGAAGGGAAGCAGGAAACAGTAGCGCTGTTGCTGACTGCTGTGTAACAGGATGCTGCTCAGGACACAAATGGCTGAAACACAGCCGAAGCACAGATGATCCATTCCTGATACATCCCAGGCCAGGACAGAAGGGGTCGTGTCAGGCTGGCTGTCACTAGAGGAAGAACGAGGCGGTACCCTCACCACCCACAGATGAGCTTGACAGAGGCAGCAAAGCCAGGCACCCATCAAGAGGCGACTATCAGCAAGACCTTCTCAGGAAGACTCCAGCTTCTCAGGAGAACAGGGCAACAGTTAATAAGTACGACCTCATGAAATTAAAACAAACAAAACAAAATTCCGTTCACCAAAGGACACAATTAATTGAATGAATAGATACACAGAATTGGAGAAAATCTTCTCAACTTATAAATATGACAGGATTGGTATTTAGAATATAACAAAAACTAAAAAAAAAAACAAACCCAGAACCTAAACTACACATACATAGACGGTTCCACACCCACGTACGCACAAACAGCACTAACTGAACTCGTGAATTAGAGAGAGAGCACACGCATGAGCACTCGTGAAGCTGGGACAGGAGAGCGATGGGAGGGATGGGGGAGCATGGATTTAGAGTATGGATTTGATTTTAAAAAAACATTATATTCTTGTATGAAATTCTTGATCAATAAAAAAGAAGGAAATACATTTCAACAAAATCAAATAACCCAATTGATAGATGAAACAAATAGACATTGCTCAACAGATGGAACACAAATGACCAGTAAACATACAGGAAATGCTCAGCTTCACCAGTCGTCAGAGAAATGCAAATTAAGCTCCCGGGAGGGGGTTGGGGGTGGTTCAGTGGTTAATGCACTTGGCACTCCTGCAGAGGAACCAGCACCCCCATGGCAGCACACAAACATGTGTGACTCCAGTTCCAGGAGATTCAGCACCCTTTGCCAGCCTCCGTGGGCACTATACACATGTGGTGCACACTCACATGGGCACTATAGACATGTGGTGCACACATGCGTGCAGCCAAATGCACATAAAATTTAAAAAAATCTTAAAAGAAACAACACCAAAATTCAATCTTAACTCAGAATATGACAATTTTGTTAATGCAATGAAATTTTTTTGATGATAATCATTAAGAATAAACACAACAATAAATGCTAGTGAGGACGTGGACCTCAGGGAACCCCCATACACCGCTAGTGGGATGTAAACTAGCCCAGTCACTGTGGAAGTCAGCATGGAGGGTTCTTGAAAAACCAGCAACAGCTCTCCACAGAATCCAGCTGCAGCTCTTCTGGACGTTTCCCTGAAGGACTCTAAATCAATGCATCACAGAGACACTTGCACATCACTGTTTACTGCAGCACCCGTCATAACAGCCGAATCATGCAGCCAACCGGGGTGCCCAGCAGCAGAGGAATGGATGGCGAAAATATGGTATGCATACACAGTGGGACTTTTGCCAACCATAGGAAGAGCCAAGCTATTTCATCTGCCAGAAAATAGATACAACTAGAGATAATCTTATTGAGTAACTTAAGACAAGTGCCATGTTTCCTCTGATCTGTGGATCCTAGATTTTATATAGACACGTAAAACCATGCATGTACATACGTCACGGAAGTGGGAGTCAAACTGTCTGGGGAGAGAAGTCACAACAACGGAGTGAGCTAAGTGAAGGGTAGGTCTAGGGATGTGAGGGGGAAGCTGTTCAACACATGTATGTAGCCTGAAAATGAAATTATTAAAAAAGATGTGCACATTGATGCACTATCGGGGTGCGTGTCAAGTGTAGGACGAGTGAGTACTGTGATCCAGTTGTATGAAGGTGCCAGCCACAGCCACGGGGTGCAGTCACCTGGGGACACATGGCCAACAGCTGAGGGAAACAGGGGTCACTGTAGTCTGGGAGAAGCTTTCCCTTAGTTCCGATGGCTGTTACTACTACTGGCTTGGATTTTGAGTTCCTTTAAGCAGGAACTGTATTTGTTTCAAGGAGCTGAGTTCTTTCAGCAGCAGAGGAAGAGCCGTAGCTAGAGGCCAAACTGCATTGCCTTGATGACTGTTCCAGGCATTGGTCCTTCTGAGCTGACTCAGCCATACTTCTGATGGTCCTTCTCCGGGTCTCTGAGGACCAAAACTTCCTGCCAATCAACCAGGAGAGGATGTGGTGAGGGAGAGATTAGCCAGAGCCAATTCTTAACCTCTGGAGCCCGGGGTGGGGGTGGAGTTCCAGCCATCATAGAGGACAGTGTCTTCCTAATTGGACACTGGAGGCCAAAAGTCCCAACCCTGCCAGATGCAGAGAATCCTCCCAAGTGGAGTGAACTCAACACACACTGCCCATCTAAGAGGGACCTGAGGGGAACCTAGGCAAAGGAGGCAGGAGCCCTCCCTCTTCACAGGAACCAGAGTCTGAGACAGCAAGAACGTACATACCAGACCCTCATGGGGACCCAGGTGCCCTCTTACACTCATCTCACTCCACTGCCAAGAAAGCCATAAATAACTTTAAGAACAGACAGCAACTGATGCCCATCTTCAGCGAAGACCAGGCTAGCCAGCCCGAGGACCCTGGGAGAGAGGTGTTGCCTGTGTGATCTTGCTGCAGACTGGACTCTCACCTAGAAATGGTAAGTGTGGCACTGTCAGGCCTGCAAGTGTAGGAGACTCCACGGCTACAAGGCAGTGGGGCCAGCATTCAGGAGGAAGGGATGGCTTGCCTCAGCAGCAGAAACTCTCCTGTCCTGAACAGCCCTGGTCTTGGCCCAGTTCAAAGCTAGTAGTACTGGAGCCTCCATCCTAGGCTTAGCTTGTTAGACGAAAGCTCGGCTTCTGCAGTCAGGTGGAATAAGCGCTGTGCCCGGCCAGCTCACCAGAGGCTGTGATGGAGCTGACTCAGGAGGGGCAGGGCTGAGGAGAGCGAGCACAGGCTGCCACTTCACTGTCAACCAGCTGCTCTTTCCACTGATCCTGTGGGCACCCTGCGCCCTTACTGAGCTGAGAGATCAGACGTGTCTTTGCGCCAGCAGGAAGCAAAGGTCCAGATATGGCATGGGTATTTCCATCACATTCACCACGGAAGAAACCTGTGTGGTCAGTACCAAGACCCCCGGTGGGTGTGTCAAGGCCCATGTACTCATTTGAGCCTGCACTGGGAAAGTTGGCTACATCCTAAATGGTAGGCTCAAATGGGCACTCCAAGATCCATGTCCCCACTGTCTGTGGTCTGTGGAGGATGGTAGTGGTGGGTTTTGCAATAACTGAACAGAGACTTCCTTGAGACCCCAGGGTAAGTAAATTAGACACCTGTCCCTACCTAGCCAAGCTCCTAACAACAGCAGCCTCCCGCATCCATCTCAGGGATTTTCAGAGTAGTGACCCATGGCCAGTCCCAAACAGGATGCTCCTGTCCTACTGCTGTGGACCCTAGGATGATGAGAAAGTAGCCACAGAAGGGCAAAAGGCACTAGAGAGGCCAGTCTTGTCTGCTTTTCAAGTTAGAAAGAGAAAAATATTTTAAACTGAAAAAAAAAAACTAAAAATATTTTAAACTGAAAAAAGCTGAAGTAAAGCAGGTAGCAGAGTTGGCAATGAGATCAGGATGGAAGCCATGAGCAGGTCCCAAATATGCATGAGTACCAGTCCTGCTGTTTCTCAGAACACAAGCCTGTACTGCCCACTTATCACATATAGATGTTGATTGGCAGGAACGTTTCATATCCTCAAGCAAGCAGAGTTTCTGCATGTTGATTGTGACTGTGGTCCAGGCTTGGGGTTAGAGGTACCTAGGTGAGGTCAGAGTCCTGCAGGGGACAAAGGCACAGCCTCAGGGTGAGGGCTATTTTCCTACCCTGACTCATGCCTGGCGATGACAAGATCACCCAACCCAGTCGCTGGGAGGCCAGCAGATCCTCGTGCCCATTCTATGGTCAGTGAGTAAGATGGAAGGTTAGGGTGGGGTTAGGAGCAGCTCTACACATGACACCCCTAAGGAATGTCCCTGGAGGTGATGAGCAACAACCCGGAGGCAGCTGAAGGGATGCTGAAGGCTGTCTGCACCTGAGAATCACACAGCTCAAGACGTCTCTTTGCTTCCTTAGATGCATAGCTCAGCTTCCTGCACAGACAAGGCTCAGCACAACCTCATGAATTAAAAAAGTCAGAGAAAATGTCCCCTTTCAGGTCATCCTAGCTCAACTGGAAGGAGATCAGAGGAGCTAGCGACCTCTTGCACGGGGGACAGTATGTCATCAACAGGCTCCTGCAGCCTGTGGAACATCCAACGGCACCGGTGAGATCTGCTCCCTCTCGCTGTCTCCATCTACCTCCACGCATCTGTCCCCACTCATGGCCACACCAGTCCACAGAAATGCAAGTCTCTCCACAGTGTCTGTGCAGGAGTTTGTGCTGGTTGGATTTGGGGGAGGTGCAGAGACCCAAGCCCTGCTCTTTGCTGTCTTCCTGGCCCTGTACATTGTGACCATCCTTGGCAACCTCACCATGATCGTGGTCATCACCCTGGATGCCCGCCTGCACTCCCCCATGTACTTCTTCCTCAAGAACCTGTCCTTTGTCGACCTCTGCTACTCCTCTGTCATTGCCCCTAATGCCCTGGCCAACTTCTTTTCCTCCTCCAAGGTCATCAGCTTTGAGGGCTGTGCCACACAGCTCTTCTTTTTCTCTTTATTGGCTACCACTGAGGCTTTCCTCTTATCTGTGATGGCCTATGACCGTTTCATGGCCATCTGCAGTCCCCTGAGGTACCCTGTGACTATGTGCTCTACGACCTGTGTTCGTCTGGTTCTGGGTACCTACTGTGGAGGCTGCCTGAACTCCATCGTGCAGACCAGCCTCACATTCCAGCTGCCCTTCTGCAGTTCCAACCACATCAACCACTTTTACTGCGACGTGCCCCCACTGCTCCAGCTGGCCTGTGCAGACACAGCTCTCAATGAACTCCTTCTCTTCGGCCTCTGTGGGTTCATCATTGTGAGCACCACGTTAGCTGTCCTGGTCTCCTATGGCTACATCACCGTGACCATCCTCAGGATGCACTCAGGATCCGGGCGGCACAAGGTCTTCTCCACCTGTGGCTCTCACCTGACGGCTGTGTCCTTGTTTTATGGAACTGTGTTTGTCATGTATGCACAGCCAGGAGCAGTGGCATCCATGGAGCAGGGCAAGGTGGTCTCCGTCTTCTACACCCTGGTCATCCCCATGCTCAACCCCCTCATCTACAGTCTGCGCAACAAGGATGTGAAGGACGCCCTGTGGCGGCTGGGTCAGAGACACAGTCTTGTGGAGAAAGGAGGCAAGTAGGGATCATGTCAGCATAATGGAAAGAAACCATCCTTGGCAGACACTAGGTGCCTTTAATTTGCTGTTTTCTTTATTATCCAGTTTCTCTTGCTTTTTGATTTAACATGTTCCTGCCTTATTCCTTTCTTCCATTCTTTAATACATTTACCCATTCATCTATGAACACACGCATCTGCCCACTATCTACCCCCTCTTTCATGAGTGCATATTATTCTCCAAGCATTTACAAAAATGGGAATGAGGCATTTTGTTTGCCATAACAAAGCAAATGGTTCATACTTGGAAGAAGCCTGAATCCCTTTCACTTTGATTTGACAGAAGGCAGAGTTAAGACAAGAGTCCTTGAGAATAGCATGACAACCATTGGCAACATCTCCCATGAACTACACAACAGTGGACTTGTCGATGGTCCTTTCCTTTTCATTCATCACTGAATCTAATGTCAGTGTGGTAGGAACTTCCCTCTGAGCATCTAAGACTGTGGCCCTTAGAAGCTGTGTGTTGACCCATCCTTGCATTGATCTAGTATAAGGATGGGCTAAAGGGATGGCAGACTTCCTCTTCTGCTTGCCAATGGTTTTGCCTCCTCCACCTTCCTCTACTCATGGAGCTGCCCTTGTGGAGTATCACAGTGCATGGCTGGAAGCAGGAGGAGCCCATAGTGCACTGGCTCCAACATATTCCTTCAACCTGCAGCAGTATAAAGCCTCAGTCACAGTCACAATTCAGGGAACCTTAAAAACCTGGCCTGGACGGGCTGGAGAGATGTCTCAGGGGTTAGGAGCATTGGCTGTTCTTCCAGAGGACCTGGGTTCAATTTCCAGCACCCACATGGAAGCTCATAACTGTCTATATCTCCCATTCCAAGAGATATGACACCGTCACACAAATGCACTTAAAATAAAATTAAATAAATATTTTTTTTAAAAGTTGATAATGGATGTCTGTTTCTTACCTATGTTCCATCAGGGGGCTTTATGCACTAAAATAAAAGAACCTGGCCTAGCAGCTTGTGACTTTATCAAGGGCTCCTTGATCACCACAGATGTCTCCACATAGGGATGAACTCTCAGTGGCTACAACAGTGTGAGGAGTGGAGAATGGAACATCATTTTCTTGTTGCAGATTCTGGAGTTCTGCTGAATGAAGGTTCTCTCTGGCACTGGCCAAGAGCCTGAGCCTGAGCCTGACCCCCCAAGGGACTCCTTGTCCTGTTCCCCATCCTCATCCCTCCAGTCCTTTGTTTGTGGCAGTGTGCCTTCTGGGATGTGTCTCCCTTTCTCACATCCATCCATTATCCTGTGTCTCACCAGCCAGCTGTCCTCCAGACATGGGCTGGTCTGTGTCCCTGTCCTGTGTGTCTGATCCCAGCCCTCATTCTCCTGATGTACCTGTCCAGGAAGCCTGCAGAGAATGACCTCTAAGCAAGGCTGAAGGCTTCTTCCCATTTTCCCCTCCCACAGCACCCTGTGGGTCTCCATTTACTTCCTGTGGCTGTCTGGTCTCAGCTTCCAGACTCCAATCTCATTCCCTGGATTTCTGTCCAGTTGGTATCAAAGTCTTCCTTTGTTTGGACAGTTCTGGGACATTCTGCTCTGTGAGTGGCATGCATCTCATGTTTAATGATATTCTCTCCATTCTGTCTTCTCTTCCTTTAGTCCCCTGTACCTCCCACTGCCCCCACCCCAGCTTGCCCAGTTGATTTTAGAGGTGGGCATGGAGTGTCCTACATCCTCCACTCTTCAGTCCTCTCCAGTCTTCACTAGTTCTAATGAACACTTGTAATTTCCAACACTGTGCAGTCTTCCTCTCTTTGAAAGTCTCTTTCCTCTAGTCTCCTGATCTCATTTGCTGTGTCACATGGCAGCAGCTTCTAACCTCTCAGCTTTCCCGATGGAGATGTGTATTTTCAGATGCTTTGTGCTGCTTCTTAGCAATCTTTCCGCCTGGGGAGCCTCTTCCAGCTCTTCCCGTAAGCTAGGTCACTTCTGAGAAACTCCCTTGCTATCAATTTTTTCTGGAAAACCCCTTCCCTTGCCTTTATTATCACATGTAGACTAGAGAGTAAATGCTAAGAAACAACCAATGGTATCTTCTTTGTCCTTGAATATAATGTTGCTTTTCGGTTGCTGCCTTAAAAATTCCCCGTTTATATTTTATTTTGGTAATTTACCTCCTGTAGACATTGTTAATTCCAGTCCCTGAAAGATCTCTGTAGCATCTTGAATTGGGGTGTCCTTTTCTGCTCCTCATAGAGGAAGCTTTGTGTCAATATTTATCTAAACATATCTTCTTCCCTTTCTCTTTCTGGTCTCCTTCCATGACTTCTCTTTGGTGTGTTCATCTCACCTGCTGTTTAATAACATAGGACTCACACCCTCTCTACAGATTTTGACACTTCAGTTACAGAAAGCAGAATGCTATCAAATACCTAAGATAGAATACAGCAAGCCAAATTAAAACAGACTGAAGTCTCTTGTAAGCCTATAGGAATTCTAGGTGATCTACATTATATACTTGTCACACTCATTCAAATGGAGACAGATGGATAAACAGGGACTTTTCTGAACGTGTGTCATTAAGAGCCACTTTGGAGTGAGCGAAGACAAAAGAATTCCTATGATGTCTTTGCTCACCAGGGACAGTCTGCATTCGAGGTTGTTCCCAAAGAGTTCCTTGGCCTTTCTGTTCTTAGAGAAATTGGGAACACAAGCAGGACAGAAGCAGAGAGACTTGGTGAAGAGTCAAAAACAGAAGAGCCGAGTGTCAGGACAGAGAGCCCTGCATGGGCATAGTTGGCCGCTATGATGGCCTCTCACCTCTCGTAAAGAAGCCCTTTATGTAAAGGATGATGGAAAGTGATGTAGAAGGTGCATTGGTCCAGGTGATGAATTAGATAGGAGGAACAAACAGTGAAAATCAGTGGAAGCGTTCACTAGCTGTGTTAGCAGCCCCGTTTGAATCTCCTAGGACAGAGTATAGACTAGGTACAGTGGTCCGGTCAGTTCCATCAATATATATTAACTCTCAGCCAGTGTCCTGTGAGCCAGACCTTGGAAGAGTGAAGCCTCTTTTCTTTCTTTCTCATGCTCCCTAATTCCCTCTGTCTTTCTACTCTGCTTCACCCCACCCTAGATTTTTACTCTTTTACCATAATTGTTTGTGGTGGTTAAGGGTTCATTTCCTGAACCTTCTTCAGGCTGAACAGGAACATAGACCTTGTCTATCCATGGAGCAAAAGCCTCTGCCCACCTATATAGGAGGGGGATGAGAAGTAGCATGGGCTTAAGGACTAGAGGAACATTGCTCAATGGGAACCTAGAAGAAGAGCTGTCATCACTAGAAGAAATGGTCATTTAACAGTCTGCTGTGTGCTTTACTATTTGTGTGTTCTGATGGATTCCCAAAGGGACATTTTCCCACCCTACAGTGCTTGAGAACTCAGGTTAATGAGCAGTGATGCTAGATGCCAATAACATGGCAGCACACAAAAGAACAGCCCACGAGGTGGAGTAAAGTAGTTTGAGTTCACACTCATTGGTCACATGTGCTCATGTGGGCAGACTGGAGATGGATGGTAGGATGGTCCTCCTGTCCTCCTGTGTGTACTGGCAGATAACAGGCTAAACAGGGCGTGGGGGGGGGGGGAGGATCACATCATCCCCAGAGGAAATGTCAGACCTTTTATTATACCTTTTATTTCACGGTGATGTCTTCTTGTATTTTTATATATTTTTAGACCTTTGGGTACCAGAATTTCTGTTTATATGAGCTTTGTGCTTGTTTACAGCTTTGGATGCTGGTTTTAAGTTACCATGCTCTAACTTCTGTCTCACCAGCAGAGACCATCATGACTACCCCTTACCTTTCTATACTAAACTTCTTTACTGCATTTCTCCTTCAGTGACCTCTCCATGACCTCTCATACCTCCAAACCGTGTGCTCTCCTACTCAGTCACACTTCACCACCTCCTTCTTTTCTTCTTTGTCTTTTCTTTGCTTTCCTACTTAAACACTGATACTCTTCACTCTAGAAACTATCTATAAACTACATCTTCCCCAGGCACCACTGTAATGCCACTGTTTCTGAACATTGAGAGATAGCCAACTGTAATGCAAGGGTCTCCTAAAACTAGGGAGTCATAACTGCTGATAAATGAATAAGAGCACTACTGTGTGCCTCCCAAATAGCTGCAGAAAATTTAATTCTTAGTAGTGAAAAGCCTCTAGAAGGGCTTACACAAAGCAACCAAGAACTGAAACTATTAAGAGAATGAAAGCCAGGGGAATGGGATGAGCTGTGAAATGATGTCTTCTGGACTTGACCTGGCTGCTGTACTCATCAGCTAATAAAAAGGCATGGCTACCTGCACAGGCTGGGGCCAATCAACACTGATCATGAATGGGGAGGAGCGTATGAGGCCCCATCCCTCCCACAGGAGCTATTGGCTGTTAATATTGTTGAGAATCAGTTATAGCTACAGGTAAGTTGCCCTCGATCAAGTAAATAACTCCAACCCACTCAGGCTCATGCAAACAAGCCTAATGACAGTCAGTGGAACATGCATACACACACACACACACACACACACACACACACACACACATGAAGGGAGAGGAGGACTTGTTGCTAGAAAGGATTCAGAACAAGTGACGGGCATGGTGAGAGAGGGTAATGGAGGAGCCCAGAGGAGGCATCAATCCCAGGAACTGACCAAGCTGCCTCCAGTGATGAGCGGTCAAGGACAATATCAAGTGTAGAATGAGTGAGTATCATGATCCTGTGGTGATATTGTGTTCCCCAATATATTGTGCCTCTTAATAAACTTACCTGGGGTCAGAGAACAGAACAGCCGCTAGATAGACATAGAGGCCAGAAAATGGTGGCACACATACCTTTAATCCTAGCATTCAGGAGGCAGAGATCCATTTGGATCTCTGTGAGTTCAAAGCCACACTGAAAACAGCCAGGCATGGTGACACACGCCTTTAATCCCAGGAAGTAACGGCAGGAAGCAGAAAGGTAAATAAGGCGTGAGGACCAGGAACTAGGGCTGGTTAATCTAGCAGCAGTTGAGCTGAGATTCATTCCAGATGAGGACACAGAGGCTTCCAGTTTGAGGAAACAGGATCAGCTGAGAAGTTGGTGAGGTGAGGTTAGCTGTGGTGTATTCTGTCTCTCTGATCTTTCAGCATTCACCCCAATATCTGGCTCTGGGTTTGTTTTTATTAATAAGAATGTTTAAGATTCATACTACTCACAAAGACAGCAGATGGAGACTGCAGGGATGAAAGTAAGTATGGGAGGCATAGCTAACCACCAAGAGAGGGAGTTATCATTCACCAAAGAAAAGAGCCACCACTTTGGTTTGGATCATTACATACTGTCTTAAATTTTTAATCCTTTAAGTAGGATTTGTGTTGAATTAAAAAAAAATAAAGGGACAGAAAGAGAATTGAAACCATCTACCCAGGCTCCTGATAATGCTGAAAAATCAATGAACTAAGAAGGCTATGTTGTAAAACATTAGTTTAAGGTGTGTTACATTTGTTTATGCTGTGGAACCTTTGTTTAATGATGTAAAGATGTGTTGCATTCTTTTATGCTGCATTTGTTTAACTTTGTGAAGCTGTGATACTGTGCCTGTCTAAAACATCTGATTGGTCTAATAAAGAGCTGAATGGCCAATAGCTAGGCAGGAGAGAGGATAGGCAGGGCTGGCAGGCAGAGAGAATA